GCACGAATTTTCGCGACAACGACGACGATTTGCGACATATTAAAACCCACGATATTTGACGTAAATTCGTGGGCCGTGATGTTACGTTCAGCGAGGATGCGTGCGGTTTCGAGCCATCCGTTGGTTTACATGAATTTTAGCGACGACGACGAAGAGTTGCGACGCAAGCAAAGAATGTGTTTCCGTTATACGAGGATGCGCGCGATTTCGAGCCATCCGTTCCTTTTGCACGAAATTTCGCGACAACGACGACGGTTTGCGACACACACTAACGATGTGTTTACGTTAGAATGACAATGACGACGGTCCACGATGGATAAATCGATGATATTCGACGCGAATTCATGAGCTATCCTGGTTCCTTCGTTCTTCGCACGAATTTCGCGACAACGACGAGTTACGATGGGAACGCACCGACGATATTTGACGAGACAACCGCACGCCGGTTTTTCGACGCGATGCTTTACGTTACAGGTTCTCAGCGCGTTCCTCACGGTGTTGCAAGTTACGCGCAATATCGGCGGCGTCTATACCTGGGATAACCTGCGTAACGCGTTGGTAGTGACACACCAGATAATGACCGCCGTGGGAGAGCCGGCAACGAAAATAAAGGTCATTGCTGATGCGGTGGCACGGGGCGATAGGCTGGTGTCGGCGATTGGTAGGACGGCTGGCGCTGCGGCGGGAGTCCATGTCCTCGAGATGTTCACCAATTTGTTACCGAATGCGCATGGCGTCGCCAACGACCTCTTTGCCGCGGACGTAGCGAGGATCCGCAAATCCTTAGGAGGCGTTCACATATCGAGCACGGGAGTAGCCATGGGGGGGTTGGGGTACGGCCAGCCCCCCTTGCCGCCGCCGCTCTTCCCGGGTGGGAGTGCAATCGGCATCCCACCTCCCCCGGCCGCGACGGCGATCGCGCTGTGGCAGGGGAGGCAACCCCATCCCCCCCGGCCGCCTCGCCGGCAGGCCCGGTCGTCGGCCGCCTCGCCCTATGCGCAAGGAGCGGCTGGGCACTATACTCCGGGACCGCCCGGTCGGAACGCGGGCGGTCGGGGACGAGGATCCGGGGGTCGGAGATATTCCATCGAAGTCAATTGTACGATTCCGAGGACCAACATGCAGGACATGACGCACACCCGCTCTATTGTTTCAGTGGACGAACCCGCTCTATTGTTTCAATGCCATACCAGCTCTATTGCAGTTCGGCCGATGCAATTACAACGTAAATCGGAATGTACGCGATAATCAGTGCGTGGGGAGATGTGATAGACGACGTGGCTATATCGGGACATGGAATGCGCCTCTCTTACGGGTCGTTGACAGTCAGGAGATGAAACTAGCGGCTGCATGGATTTATTTTACGATAACAACAATGTGCGACGTATAGGAACAGACGTTATGTGACGCCACCCGTCGGCTATTTCGATCTGTTTAGGGGCACGAATTTTCGCGACAACGACGACGATTTGCAGCGCATGCAAATACTATGTTTACGTTTAACGAGGATGCGTGCTGCTTCGCGCCATCCGTTTGTTTTCCACGAATTTTCGCGATAACGACCACGATTTGCGACGCGCAAATACTGTGTTTACGGTTAACGAGGATGCGTG